TGACCAAGAAATTAACCGGCATGATACCACAAATGCACCTGAGAGAGAATCACTTATCGGACTAATATTATTTATGCGAAAGCTTGTGCGTTCATGTACGTATGTTTGCTACTCCTTACCGCTAAAATACCTGAACAGATTTCTATGAAAATACACAAGCAGACTACGACTATGATGGTAGACCTGGAATAACTCAAACACTAATTTTTGGCCCCTAGGGACGTATTTTTATAAATTTAGATCAGTATTAGTAGGTTTTAGTCACTATTATTGGTGATACTATATATTTATACGAGTATCATCGCATTGTATAAAATGACGGAAATGTATAACGGAAACAAGATGACGTAGACTCGATCGGAAACCAGCCAATTTATTAGCAGCGACCGGGAAAGTCGAATTACTTAAACTACATATCATTCGGGACTTGAAATAGTTTGTAAGAAGTTTAATATTTTCTTTTATATCTTCTTCTGGAGAAAGTATTTAATTGATTTTCCTTTCCATATCTTGAATTTTTATTCATTACATCATGTCTTTGGTCACTCTAAATAGTATCTACATTATTCGCCATTATTACGTTGTTATTTTATGCTATTAAATTTTATTATAGAAAAATTATATTATCATCATTTTTCGTATTTTTCGTACAATGTTTAAATCATAACGCTATACCTCTGTGATCTGCTCGAAAATTGTTTTAATAGCTATTATTCTTAGACTATTCTTTATCCTGAGCTGTTTCCAACAACTTCTTTCGTTCGGCAAACTCATCTTACATCAAGCAATGCTGGTATAAAAAATACTCATTTTTATTATTTGAAAATTGTCTAGTAAACAAGTTCTGTTTCCTTGATAAAGAGAGTTCTTGAATCAACATTTGCTTAGATTCATCTCTAACAACTAAGTAAGATAGATCCAACCCAACTGCATTCTAAACTTCTTCTATGTTAATAATTGGACGACACGTTTGGCTCAGTTTGTTGTGACCCTACTTGATATATTATGTATATACAGAAAAAAAAATGTATTCTCATTTTCCTCCAAATTTAAATATTGTACAACTATATTACTGTAACAATTGAGATCTAGAGACAAAGAAGTATGGAGTGACGATAGAATCCGCTCGATGGATATTTAAACTAAATAAATAATACATGAATAGTTAGCCATTTAGCCTTGAAAGCGTTGTTACGCTAGTAAATTGGTTTAATTTTATTTAATTTAACTGCCTCGGTGGTGTAGTGGCTAGCATGTACGGTTGCACACTCGGAGGTCCTGGGTTCGAGTGCCGGGTCGGGCCTAGTTTAGTTATTGAGTCTTTCTGTATAGTAAGCCTCAGTAACAGCCCGGAGTTGGGAAGTTGGCGGTGTTTCACCCCCGTGCCTCGGAGAGCACGTAAAGCCGTCGGTCCTGCGCCTTAACTCTCACTGGTCGTGTCGAGTGTTCGTCCCACCAGAGTATGAGAGTGACAGGAATAGAGAGTGCACGTTGTGTCTGCGCGTACACTTGTGCACTATAATATCTCCTGCGCAGTAGGCTAGTCTCAATGAGATTGGCCGCCGTGGCCGGAATCGGCTAGGAGAACATCATCAAATTGGTTTTATAAAATTAGCATACAAAATGGAACTAATATTTATAAATTAGTATGTATAATAGCAAATCCAGCCAAAAATTCGCATGCTCCATGTTACCTTAAAACATTATTGGAGAGCCGAGAATCTAATTAATTATCGACCACATATCATTCGAAACTTTCAATAGTTTATGCGAAGTTCGCGAGGGGATGGCATTTATCTCTTGAGAGGAATTAGACTAAGAATTTAATTACAAAGAAACAAGTGAGTAATCAGAAACTTCCCTTGGTGTCAACGAGTAATTCATTTTTCTAAGTAAAATTAAAATACATATACAAGAAATAACTGTCACTGTACGTAGTATAGAATATTATTTTCGATTAAAATTAATTTATAACATAAGTTTAAGACAAAGAGCTTCTCAAGACACCCAAATTGGCAACCAAATCTACCATTTTCATTTTTTTATGATTTTAATATCATACTAATATTATAAAGAGGTAGAGTTTGTTTGTTTGAACGCGCTAATCTCAGAAACTACTTTTTTCGATTTGAAAAATTCTTTTTGAATTAGATAGCCCGTTTATTAAGGAAGGCTATAGGCTATATATCATCCCCCCCCCCCCCCCAAGGCATGATTTCCGGGATAAAAAGTATCTTATGTCCTTTCCAGGGTCTCAAACTATCTTGTTACCAATTTTCACCTAGATCGAATCAAGATTTAAAAAAAACTAATTTTAATAACAATTTTTTTCCTTTTAATTTTATTTTATACAAAACTTGTCTTTATATATAAATAAATAACAAACACAAAAACAATATCAAATTTGGTGCAGTCGCTCGGAAGTTATGCGCGTACATACATTTCGGTCATTCAATTTATTTATATAGATAGCATAAAGCCAAAAACTTTTTTTTTTGTAGTTTTAGAGCGAGCGAAGCTACGGGTTGTGCTAGTTTATATTAATCAAGAAGAACCTACCGATATATTATAATTTATTAAAATTAATTAAGCTTAAGCGTTTAATAGTTTAATAATTACGAGAATTGGACATACATACATTCATACAGATCAAACACATAACCTTTTTTGGGTTCGCCGCAGTCGGATAAATAGTAAATGCAGTGTACAAAACTAGTTGTTCAAATTGACTAAATAATTTACTAAATAAATAAGCTAGTAAAGGCTTTGTAACCGCAAACTTTTTATGAGATTGCATATTTAATGGAAACTAGACATCAAAGTAGGTTAAGCTTCTTTGCCAATCATAATTATAAAAGTGGAAAGTTGGTAAAATTTTATAATCATGTTACTGCCTAAAATCACTGAATAAAATTGAATGACTGTGTTATAAAATTTTGCTCTTATTTTCCTATTAAAATTTTCCAATCCCGTTATTGGAGTTCATTTCCTTAGAACTAATCATAAAAACAAATAATTCTTAAGCCAATTTCTTTTTTAGTCAAGATATTTTATTATTTAAAAAATAATCAGTGATGTTATTAGTTAAAATATAAATAAACTAGCAGAACCCGCGGCTTCGCTCGCGCTAAAATTACAAAAAATCTCTAAAAAGGTATATTACATACAAACTTTCATCCCCTATTCTACTCCCTTATAGGATGAATATCAAAAAATGCTAAAACACATATTTATTTAATTTTATTGAAAAGCATTAATACGAAGTTTTAAGTAATTCTAATCATAATCTTTTTTTTATTGTATTATAACGTGTTTTCTGTGAGAATTAGCTAATGACCCGCGGTAAAAAGTAGCCTATGTCCCTCTCCAGTCCTCAAACTATCTCCAACAAAAAAGTCACGCCAATACGCTATTCTGTTTCGATATGAAAGAAGGACAAACAACTAAACAAACAAACACACTTTCAAATTTTCACATTTACAACATTAGTAAAATATTAGTATGGATAATCGCTAGTATAACAAAAAACTATCGAAATAGAATTTAAATATAAAAGTAATATTTCGTACTATTAGTCTTCAGTAAAGTTGAGAATTTCCCAAGTGTTAGCATATAATATTAACTCAACTCGTATCGCCTACTTGTAAAATATGGGGGAAGTTTGAACACTTTATTTAATGTATCCGTCGTCGACTTCCAGTCTCAATACCGAACTAATCTTAAGATTCGTCGCTTGGTTATACAATGTTATAGTTGCTTTACTATAACTACTTTAAAGATCAATTAAACCTACGAATAAAACGTATAATTCATAGTTTCATAACATAAAGGTCCAATAATATAATAACTTAAATACAAATTACCATATAATAATAGCATTTGGGACTACAAGACTGAAAGGTTGTAGCTGTACAGAATAAATTTAGGCAAATCCAATTTGGTTTTATTTTAACTGACTCTATAAACATAAGTTATATGATTTATATGTATGTATGTATATCGATTACTATGAAAGTGTAGTTTTTATTTGAAAGTCAGCACTCACTTCCCTTTCGAATATGATGAGATCGAGTGATAAGAAACCCTTTAAGAACAGGTGTAAATCTTCTCAATAAGACCGTTTAATTATTTTTTTAATTGGATCGATTTTAATTATTCTTAATAATTTTCATAAATTATTTTATTATCGATATGTTTACATAATATTTTTTGAACCATACTTTTATGTAATAACTAAAGATGCAATATTGTTATAGTTACATGAAAAATATGTAGATAAAAATAACAAATAAACCTATACAAATAAAAAAAGTATTTCTTATTTGAATTATAATTAATTAATTATATGTCGGGTCGCCTATATTATAAAAATATATTATTTTTATTCAATATGTTTGGCAATTGTTAATTCCTCTATATAATATAGCCTCTACGAAACCTCTACGACACGTAGCTTTGCAATATTCTACGAAATTCGCATTTTAAAACTTATAAAAAAATTGTTTCTTAATTTTCTCCATATTAAAATCGACAGAAAAGACTCATTTAATTCTCTATTAAAACATTGATTAAGTAGTATGAAAAAAGTTATATATATATACAATATTTGTAAATTCCGTATGCTATCAAAAAGGTTTATCAAAGACAAAAAAAGTTCAATACTTTTTACTCCTCTGTTTGTCAACCGATTTTTTTGTGTGTTTAGTACCTAGCTATAAACGAGTTATAGTGTTATCAATATAAATATTAAAAACAGTAAGTTGATGGAAATAAATAGGTAAATTGTCATGTATGTATGTATGTTTTTCTCAAATGTTTAATACTCATTATGGTCGAACTTCGAACACTGTGCGAGAGAGAAGTTTATGTTTTGTAATGAAGTCATCAATTGAAGCGAGTGCTTGTAGCAACAATATAAACGCAAAAAGAATCTATAGGTGGATAAAGGGATCTGAGCAAAGCAAAGGTAAACCACTAATAAAAGTATAAAAAATTGTCACCTTAATCCAGGTATCGTAGTAATGACTTGGCCTTCAGCGGTGACCCAGTGAACCTCTGGTGTAGGATGTCCAATAGCTCGGCAGGTCGCGTACGCGCCACGAGTCGAAGGCCACAGGACCCGCGACGGTGGCTCCACCGCGAAGTGAGGCCGCTTGTCCCCCGAACTGGCCGCCAAGCCAACTGCTAACGTGATGCCGATAATCCATTGTATTTTGTGACCTGTATAAAAAAGATTTTTATAAAGATAATTAGAAAAAAAATAAGTTATTTATTATATAATATTACTAGCAATTGCCCGCGGTTCTGCCTGTTTTTAAAATAATGAATTTGAATAGAAATTCTTAACGCTTTTTTACCTCTTTTTAGGAGTTGAAAAAATCCCTTCATAGGTAATATCTATTCCCTATTGGAAATCTATCTACCAAGATTCAAGTTTGTGGTATTTGTACTCTCTGAGATTAACAATGAGTGGTATTTCGCTTTTGTGTTTAATAAGTGGTACAAACCAAACCTATATAGATTTAACTATATGTTAATTCTAATGTTATTCACATACGATTTATTATATGGATTTAATATTAAGTTTATGATAAGAGAGTATATTCATTCATATAATAAAATTACAATGGAAATTATTTGAGTCTTCGGAAATTCTTAGTAGGTATGTAGTAGAAATAACATTTTTTAGAATATTTGTTTTTGTACGAGATCGCGCATCTGCAGAGCATAGCTGGCTACATTTAACAAATTTTTGACTGGCAAGTAAAAATCTTAGTCAAAATATAAGTAGGTCTTATATTAATTGAATTCACAATTGAAATCATATTTATAGATGCAAACTAAGTAGAAACACTGTGCAGTTTATAAGTTATACAAAAATACTTGCTAAGCAATCTCCATAAGCCTCGTATAGAATTATAGGCAAAAAAGAAGTTATGTATAGTCTATAGTATTATATGATCTGTGGTATAGTTAAAGTTCGCTGCTTGTAATTCTTTTTTAACTAATTACAATATCTTTCATTATCTACAAATAAATTTAAATTAACGGAAAAATTAAGAAAAAAATAAAAACCGACTTCAAACAAAAGCACTAAAAAAACTTTTTAACAAAAAAATAAAAACTGACTTCAAACAAAAGCACTAAAAAGTAAAAAATAACTGATTGGTAGTTTTCATTTACTATACATACCTAATCAAATATTTTCGAAGTCGGTGTGCTTTGCTTTGTATGGGCTGGCACCGATTTCGAAAATATTTGATTAGGTATGTATTTAATAGGTAGGCTTTAATTACTTAGCCAAAGCACACCGACTTCGAAAATATTTGATTAGGTATGTATAGTAAATGAAAACTACCAATCAGTTATTTTTTACTTTTTAGTGCTTTTGTTTGAAGTCGGTTTTTATTTTTTTGTTAAAAAGTTTTTATTTTTCCCTTTTTAGTGTAGACAGTAGTAGCATAGTAAGGATTCTAACGTGTTAGGCTTCTCAAATCAAACAAAATAAGCCCAAACTCAAAGTATCTACTATTAGCCGTTGAAGAGTTCCACCTATCCACCTTCTGGCCTTGCCATCAGATCAGGTCAACAACACTGAACCACTGTACTATCAACGGAAATAGAAATACTTGCAAAGTTTCAAGTCAATATGACAATTAGAAGTAGGTTAAATTCATCATTAGTTGTTTTTCCACCCTTAGGGGTGGTATATTTTTTTGAAATTTAAATGGGACCAATCTGGAAGTATACCCTTTCAAACAAAACAAAAATTGTCCAAATCGGTTAATAAATGACGGAGTTCTGAGGTAACAAACATAAAAAAAAAAAAAAAAAACATACAGTCGAATTGAGAACCTCCTCCTTTTTGAAGTCGGTTGAAAAGTAAAAAATAACTGATTGGTAGTTTTCATTTACTATACATACCTAATCAAATACTTTCGAAGTCGGTGTGCTTTGCTTTGTATGGGCTGGCACCGATTTCGAAAATATTTGATTAGGTATGTATTTAATAGGTAGGCTTTAATTACTTAGCCACTTTAATTAATTATCAACGGAAATAGAAACACTTGCAAATTTAAAGTTAATATGACAATTAGAAGTAGGTTAAATTCATCATTAGCTATTTTTCCACCCTTAAGGGTGGTATTTTTTTTGAAATTTAAATGGGACCAATCTGGAAGTATACCCTTTCAAACAAAACAAAAATTGTCCAAATCGGTTAATAAATGACGGAGTTCTGAGGTAACAAACATAAAAAAAAAAAAAAAATACAGTCGAATTGAGAACCTCCTCCTTTTTGAAGTCGGTTGATAAACATGTTTATTTCATTTAATCTATGTATTCTGCATTTATATTTAGCACTGTGAAAGCAAACACGAAAAAGTAGTCGATTTAAAATTCCCATACGACGCGACGAACCAAAATTTAAAACTCACAATTTTACACTTCCATATAAAAATGTTGTCCTACATAGTTAATTTATACGAGTTGAACATTATTATGTTTCGTAACACAGCTCGTGACATGAATAATAATGCCCTGACTGCTGAATAATGATGTCCCAATAAAATATTTTCATTAAAAATAATGATTTCATTTACATGTTACTGAGTTACGATGAAATAATTTAAGAATATTTCTTGGCGCTAAAATTTATGTATTTTAGTAGGCATAATTGGAAGCCCTTTGCTTTGAAGCTTTGTAATCCAAAATCTATTTGAAGTTACAAATTTTTTTTTATAATTATTTTTTATTTTATAGCATAGGTACTAGCGACTCAACCTCGCTTCGCTCAGGTTCGTCGCATCTTGCTTCTCAATGCAAACTTTCATCCCATTTTTACCCCCTTAAGGGATGATTTCCGGGATACAAAGTATCCTATATTCTTTCCAGGGTCTCAAACTATCTTACTACCAAATTTCATCTAAATCGGTTCAGTAGATACAAAGATTACCCTCACAACGTCACAGACTCACAAACTCACAAACTTTACCTCTTTATAATATTAGTATAGATTTCTTTTTTTAAGAATAAAAGTTCATAAAATTTAACTTTATATACGCAACTTTAAATTAGCATTCAATGAGTGTTAAAAATCACTTCTATTTACACGCGTTTCGGATAAAATGATTAAGACAGTTTGTGTATAAATTATTATTATTAGACGATTCTGTTATATTAAAGGAATATGTTTTTATAAATATTTCTACCTAAAATATATTTAGTCTTATATATTTTAATAACTTATCTTAAGTATTAGATGTATGTATGTATGTTTTGTGATAATTTCGTCAATTATGTACCAAAAACTGCAATGTAAAAGTATACTAATATGTAACACCTAAGAATTTTAATTAAAAAATTGGTTTTTGGTCATCTGAACGCGGGCGGAACCGCGGGAAATGTTAGTACCCATATAAATTTGAAAAAATATTCCACTCTTAGAGGTGCAATTAACTTTAAAGTAATTTTAAGTCGGTATTTACTGTGTCGAAAAAACCCCTTTAGTTCAAAAATTAATTATTAAGCAGAAAAACTTGGGTCAATATTTGAAATACATTAACTTACATACTCAATGTTACGTCGGAAATTCAACATGAATTCCCGCAAAGTAATTTATGGAGCTTGTAAATACTTTCTTACTTATTGACAGATAACACCGGACAATACGAAATTTAGGTCTAGATATTACATTTTTAGTACTTCACTAGTACTAGTTTCATTAGCCAAAGTTTGCTTTTGTAACGATATTTTGAAAACCTACTAAAAAAATGGACCTATTCTATCCTAAATTTATAGTAAATAGCTACGAAACAAAATTCAGCTTTACAATTAAGTCATGTTTGTTCAAAAACTAGCGACTCACCCTCACTCTGCTCGGGTTCATCCCTAGTTACTTTTTAACCTTTAATACAGATTTATCAGAGATGAGATATTTTCCCGCAATAAAAAGTATCCTATATGTTGACCCGGATAATCAGCTACCATCATACTAAATTTCATCAAAATCTGTCCAGCGGTTTTCTCGTGATGCGGTCATAGACAGACAGACAAAAATTCTAAAAACTATAGATTCGGCCTCTGTATCGATAATAATAACTATTTCAATAAGATTTTCCAAAAAGTAATTAATGTACAGATTCGACTCAGAATTGTATTATATTCAGTACCTACAGATATTGCACAATATATGACTGTAATCACAAAAAATGGAAAACTAGTATTTTTATAATATTAATAAGTTATGTAATTAAATATTATATTTTAATTGTGGTTGCTATTGTTAATAATATTATTTAATAATTATATAATTTAAAAGGGCTTAAGCATAAGACAAGATATCACACAACATAGATTTATAAAAAAAACAATGTTAATATTCTAAGATTTTTATACTTTATACACTTTTTCTTAAAATTTTGAATAATATTTGTTGACATAATATAAAACTTATATATATATATTATATATATATATATATAGTATGTTTATGTTTCAAAAATTTTGTCCGACTTCAAAATGGCGCTAAGTATAGATTTTCATAATAATTATTTTTTTAAGTATTATACATCAAGGGTAGTTCTACATGCATTTAAAAAAATCGACTTCTATTATTTTTAAACTGATTACTCGTAATACTATAATCCTATTATTTTATCTTACCACTACATAAATACGAAAGTTTGGATTGATGGGTGTTAGTTACTCAATCACTCCAGAACGCCTGAGCACATCTAGATAAAATTTGGCACACAAACAGATTATAGTCTGGAATAACACATAGGTTATTTTTATTCTGGAAAAAAATTACGGTTCCCGTTGGGTAGATTTGTTTTTGTTTTTTTCTACGGACGAACCTGAGTGAAGCGAGGTAAGTCAAGCGAGGATGAGTCGCTAATAATCATATATTTTTCCAATTAAACTTATTATTAAACTGTCATTTTCTCTATGTGATCTGTGTAATTTGAGAAAATCCGCAAGAACAAGAAATTACATGAAAAATATTCATTTTTAAGTTATTGCTTTATGTATAGTAAAATGTATAATAATGTATGGCAAGAATACACCCAATGACGCAACAACACGAGAGTAAGTCGCTAGCTATCGATATATGTAGAAGTTAATTAACTCTAAAATATTAGAAGTAAATATTTCATAAAAAAATATGATTTACTTGTTATATATGCATAATATCTATTATAACAAATTTAACAGCCGTTTTTCAGATCTTTTTTCAGATCGTTTTTCAGATTTTTTGACTACTTTTGCATATCTATTTTACCAATATTTGATTTGATAGATTAAGCTATATCAAATCCAAAATGTATTAAAAAAGCTACAAGAAATACTTTAAATAATCGATTCAATTATTGAGAAGATTGGATATTTATTGGTTTTCTGTAGGTAAAATTTATTTTACCCGTAAATCGTTATTAGTGGCATTTGTTGTGTAATTTTCAGAATCGTTATTGATTTTTTAATTTAGCTTAGAAGTTCTTGAAAGTTAAGATTCTAAGATTCTAAAACAACAATGACAGGCTTCAGAAGAATTGGCTAAAGGAACTTATCGGGACATTATATATTTTTTTAATAATTCGATATATGTATAACCATTTTATTTTAAAACTTAAAAAATATATTAAAAAAATTAACTGAGCTTAACATAATCTTATTGGGGCTCTATGGCAAAAACATTTTCCACCAAAAATACTGACTTGTTTTGAGTACTAACTAATAGTACTGTCTGCATTCTTAAACGTAAAGAGAAATTCATTGCAATACAATTTAAATTTCAGTAAATTTAATAAAAGATTTCTAACAGATGTCAAAATTGGAAACAAACCTCTCATCCCGTAGTCACTGAACACCGAATTTTCTGATAATCATTATCAAATTCACTCTAAAGTCTATCATTCACATATTAAATGTCACCTTACACATATTATTGGTGTAATGTTTTTATAAATATCATATTTTATCTACACAATCAGTACTCGCAGATCGCTAAAGTTTTCCATCTAAAGTTGAATGTACCGACACATGCGTATCGTACGAAGTTCGCGCGCGGACTAAGCCGGTAGAGAAGTGCGGGCTACGAGCCGCTCTTCAGATAACAATAACTATATTGTAACAGGGCGGTTCAATTAGATAAGAGAGTCTACGTAATATTCACAATTCGTAGACATATAGTAGACGGAACTTACTCAATTCTCAAAGGAAGCTTGTGTAGGTCAATATTTATACTTTATTTTTCTTTTATGTTACCTAATATAAAATAAGTTAGCTGTTAGAGAATTATTTATATCATGATAGAACTTAGAGATTCAATTTTTTTTAATATTTTTTTTAACTTGTAATAACTGGTTGTCTTAACTGAATTTCAGTCACGGCGACCAATTTCAATGAGACTAGGCAATAGGCATTTATCTCTCAGGGGATACAATAATGCAAGTGTACCGCATGTGCTCGCAAACACTGGTGCACTTTGTATTCCCATAACAAATCTTCAGACTGATGGAATATCAATCAAACTTTTTAGATAAATTATAAAGTATTAAACACTTAAACTACAAGAAAAATGGCTAAAAATGCTACCACCAACTCTCCACCTTACGGCTTACCTTACTTCAATTTTAAACCGGGAACCCAGAACTTTACGATCTACAACTATGAGGTTGCGTAGCTAGTCCACTGAGCATAAAGGGATTGTAATGATGAAGTTTTAAGCTTTCCCTTCTCTTTAACTCTTTTATTACGGCGGTTTTCAATAATGAAATTCTCCGTATTTGAGATCCGCCCATAGGAAATAATGCATACAAGATTATCGATGCAGTCAACATTCAATATGCATTTGCTGACTTAGCTAATAGAAACTAATAATATACTTTATTATATTTACGTAAATAATAAAATAGTTCATTTTTTATATTGTTAGATTCCATACTTTATATTTAGCATATAAAATAAATGTCTGTTCAAGTAAAGGATAACCTAAACACGTTTAATTTTGTGGTTTCGTACAAAGCTAGATCTCTAAATCTCTAAAAGAGAGATGCACAAACCGATTTTATATATTATAGAGTCTATATTATAATATCCATATCCATATTAATATGTAAAAGTGTGTCTGTTTGCTTGTTTGTTTGTTTGTCCTTCTTTCATGTCGAACTGAAGAGATGGATTGACGTGATATTTTGTGTGGAAATAGTTGGAGAGCTGGAGAGTGACATAGGTTACTTTTTACCGCGGGAGATTATCTAATACCCACGGAAAAACACGTTATAATACAATCCAAAAAAATATTTACGATCAGAATTACTTGAAACTTTGCATTAATGCTCCTCAATAAAATTAAATAAATACGTGTTATAGCATTTTTCGAAATTCATTCATGAAAGTGTATATGAAACTACCTTTTTAGATATTTCTTTGCAGTTTTAGCGCGAGCGAAGCCACGGGATCTGCTAGTATTACAATATTTATTACGTCAATATGTGTAGTTACGTCAAAATCTGTATATGTAAACAAACCTATCTCACGGGAACCGTGCATTTTTCCGGGATACAAAGTAGCCAATGTGCCAAATTTCATCCAGATCCGTTCAGCCGTTCTGTTGTGAAAGAGTAACAAACATCCATACATACATACTCACAAACACATTTATAATATTAGTATAGAAGTATAGATTTTTTTAATGGAAAATATCACCGTAGCCCTCCCTTAGAGCCTGCGTTCTTAGGTGCGCCACTTTTTGGCAAGTTTCAATGTTTCAAAGTCTATCTACGTACTAAATAAATTTCATTCATACCCGTTCTGCCATTTTATCCTAAAGAAGTAACAAACACACACACATACAAATTTTTGCACTTTTAATAGTACCAATATTAAAATTTATGTTCAAAAAGCTCTAACCATATTTTGTTACCGTCAATTCTAACATGGTGAACTGTAGTCTATTTCCATAGAAGAACAAAGGGTTGTTTTCCGCATAAAGTGCAGGCAAGTCTTATTCCAGAGTGCCATAGAATTTGTAACATTTAATTGCGTTGCAAAATAGCCAGCTCGTGCTGCATTTAAATCGCCGCATAACCATTATAACTGGAATAGCTGCTCTCACGATCAAAAATGTACGATGTTATGAAACATTGCTACTACAATTTTTCATTGTTTTGTTTGAGTAGATATTCTCATTTACAAGTTATTTTAAGGTAAATATAAAATGCAATCAACAACAAATATGGTCTGTTTATAAAATCATTGATAAAACCCAATTCATTTGAAGTTATCTATATAATAAAGATTTATAAAAAAAATGTATCTTAGTTTGACAGAGCTGTTTTGTGGAATTGTTTAACAAAATGTTAAATAGTTTTAAATTGCCTCTAGTTTACAGATCTGTACTTAATTTTTTACTATAAAATAAAATGTCGTCCGACACACAGTGGTGAATCTCATTAAAAATAGCCAACTGCGCAGGAGGTGGAGATATTATAGTGCATAAAAAAATGTCTGAATCTTATAAGTATTAATTTCACCAATTTCAATCATTAAATCATAAACATTAGTGCAATTTATTACCATTGTGTTGTTTAAATAAAGACTGTTTTTTTTTTAAATCTCTATCCCTTTTACTCCAATAACCAAGTACATGCTTTTTATCTAGCCGGTGAGTACCACATATCACCTAACCAGGTAGTATGTGTAAATTAATTTCCCAACATTAAAAAAAAGTCGCAGAACTCCACCCAGTTCCAAAGAACTATCCAACTTCCGAGCTTGTACTAAATTAAAAAATCCAATAACTACACCTGTCTTAGACCGACTTGCTCTCCGGACTTGAACCAGGGCCCTCCGAACCTTTAGCCTTACATACTAGCTGCTGGTCCAACGAGATGCCACGCATATAAAAAAAAGTATAGTTATGATGACTCCGCTAGGAACGCTATTTAATCTATTTATATGAGTACCTCGGCATAGGCGCTGGTTCAATATGTTATGATCATATATCATTGTCTCTTATAATTATTTTTTTGTGCAAAGTTGATTTTTTTTTCAGTGAAGACACCTACCTATATAGATAAACTAAAAAAGTAAAGCCTTATTCAAATGATAAAATTCATCCAAAGTATTAACACCTCCAGGTAAATTTCGAAGAAATTAATTAAAATTCTAAGAAATCTATTATTAACTGACACTCTGGCGTGTCTGCGGTCGTGGAGGGAATAAAGGAGTGTCCGAGATATGCGAGGTTTTATGTACAAGAATTGATCATTTAATATTATAAGAAAATATATAATATAAGTTAGTATATATACTACGTAACAGTTAGTAATATAGAGTACTATTCATATTAGAACAACTAAAGCTTTGTACGTTATCTATACATATAATAAAAGTGTACATAGAAAAAAATGTTAAAAACCGTGTCAGGGGGATGTAAGAGGAGAAATAGAACAAATCCAGATTTTTTTTAATTTTTTAATTTCTCTGTCTGTTTGTATGTTTGTACGAGTTAACCTCCGAAACTGATGGTGGTACCTTATATCCCGGAAAATTAAAGATTTCCCGTGGAATAGTTAAAAGACTATAACAACTTATAGCTTAGTACACAACAACTTATGCACCTAATTTAGTATTTGGCATGCTTTTGGCAAACAACAGGTTACTTTTTATCCCGGAAACATCAACTACAGGTTTATAATTTTCGCTTAGCTATCATTAACTATAATTAAAATTGATTTAATGGTGAAATTGTAAAATGTACCGCTGTTTTTTAATTTTTTAAACTTTTTACTATTGAAAAATAATCTAATATAAGCTCTGTTTGAAAGACACTGCCTAGTTTAAGTTTTGGATATCATCCAAGACTTTACACTTTAAAAAGCGCACTTTCCCTATTTAATCTACATAGATACATTTAAATGGCAGCATATTTCAACGCAGAATAAAAGGTGTTGAGAATTTAAACCTTAAAAAAGAATGTATAAAAGTCGTAGTAATATCGCATTTTCAAAGAGCTAAATGGCCTCTTTTAAAAGCTTTTAGCTGAGAGATATTCTATAAGAGCACCTGTAAATAACACATCATGGATAGTGAAACTTCCGACATACAAGTTTTTCTTGCTAATTTAGTATACGTATAGTAAAGATTATAATTTAATCTAATGTTTAGAATTTAAAAATATGTACCTATATATACAAAAGGCAAAGACAAAACAGTTTAGTACCTTTTTCTCTTGTGTCTGTCAACCATTTTTTTGTTTAGTCGATGAGCTTTAATATAAGACTAAAGCTCTTTAATAAAAAAAATGATTATGGTCTAATTTTGACCACTGGGCGAACACCGGTATTAGTAATTACTCGGATGTTAACGAGGAATACATTTTGATACAAAATATATATATATATATATACAAAATATATATATAAATATTATATTACTATTACTGTGCTTAGATAAATACCCTAGCTTTCCTTTACCTAAATGTTGGTTATCTTGGTAATATTGTCTACAAATTTATTTTTCATACCAATTTACAGCTCGTGAACGAATCGAATTCATGTTTTCCGCCAGATCAAATTCCAGTCACACTATATTACCACATCAGTTATATTTTATTTAGTTATGGAATAAATCATTTCTTCGCTTAAGACAGTTTATAGGCATTCATAAACTCAACACCATTGTCTCGTGCTTGCGCATATATTAACTGTTCTTGAAATTTATTGCACATTGTAAATACAATATCAAGCAGTACTAACACACAGGGATAACTAACAGAATGTTTAAATAGAATTTCATTAAAGTACATATTGCGAGTAAAATATTATCTTACCAATCTATATATATA